GGGCAGAGGTTGGTGTATCTACAGGATTTTACATTCAATATCGAGCACCGTGCAGGCAACAGAATGCGTCATGTAGATAGTCTAAGTCGGTACCCCGTTATGGTCATAACGTCGGAAATACATGCGCAGTTTCGGAGTGCACAACAGAAGGATGATCAGTTAGCAGCAGTGACTGAGATTTTAAAACATAATGAGTATGCAGACCATAAATTGAAAAATCAATTAATTTACAAACAGATTGGCGGTCAGGATTTGTTAGCCGTACCTATAAGCATGGAACGAGAGATCATCAAAAACGCACACAATTTTTATCATATGGGCTTACAAAAAACAATGCATGGAGTAAGGCAAGATTATTACATACCGCATTTGGAACGAAAAGTAAAACAAATCATCTCAAACTGCATAGAGTGCATAATGCACAACCGCAAATTAGGCCGACAAGAAGATGGGTTACACTGTATCGACAAGGGGGATACGCCGCTTTGCACTCTGCACGTAGATCATTTCGGATCGTTGGATGTTACGTCACAGTGCTACAAATATATATTTTCGATGGTGGATGGTTTTTCCAAGTTTAATTGGCTCTACCCAACGAAAATAACAGACGCGCTAGAGGTTCTAAGGCGCTTGAGTTCTTGGGTAGCAATCTTTGGTAGTCCGCAGCGAATTGTCAGCGACAAAGGTGGAGCTTTCACCTCGAAATTGTTTAAAGAATTCTGCGAAACACATAAAATTGACCATATTGAGACTACAGCCGGTGTGCCAAGGGGTAACGGCCAAATAGAAAAGGTCAACAGAGTCATTCTTTCTGTTTTGGCGAAAGTGTCAGCAGCAGACCCAGCTAAGTGGTACAAACATACATCGACGGTGCAACGGGCAATCAACGCGCATATACACTCTTCAACAAAGTTCACTCCATTCGAAGTTTTATTTGGGGTAAAGATGCGAAATGAGGCAGACACGGATGTACTAAATATTCTACATGAAGAACTAGTGACTCACTTGCAAGACGAACGCACTAAAATTAGGCAGGAAAGAAGAGAGCACATACTAAAAGCGCAAGAGAACTACAAGAGAAATTTTGACAAGACACGTAAAGGACAGCATGGGTATTGTTTAGCAGATTTAGTCGCCATCAAAGTTACGCAGTTTGTATCCGGAAAAAAGTTGGCTAATAAGTACATTGGTCCTTACGAAGTCACCAAGGTGAAACCAAATGGAAGATACGTCGTGAAAAAAGCTGCTGAGTTTCAGGGTCTAACGGGTCTAGGGTTAAACGTCTAAAAGTGCAGACAATATGAAACTTTGGAGGTACATTCAATGTGAGGACGAGTTTGAAGAAAGCGAAGAGGATGATAATACGGAATCATCTGGGACAGATGAATTGCAGGATGACCGAGTGTAAGACGGCAGCACTAAACATATGTCTCGTCTGGTAACACTAGGTATTAGTAACGTTTGGAAACACTGAAGAAGAAGTCGTATGTAGCAACAGAGTCAAGTGGAAGTCGTCGTGAGAATCGTCCGAAAACTGTGCCGAGATTTGCATTTAATTTTCTATATATTTTTGAAATACTTAAACTATACTACACATTAATATTCACTTTTTAACGTACTGTTAATTCATAAAATATTTAATAAAGCTATTAATTATCACATACATACAAAAAGTTGTCTCTTTATTTCCGGGCTGGGACGTGTCCCGTCGTGCCGGGCTGGGCCCCGCTAAAATTCTTAACGTGCGGCCTCGTGCGTGTTTTTGAATGTTGATTTAGCACTCGTGCCGGGCTGGGCCTGAAAATTTAGGCCCGTGCCCATCTCTACTCCAGACACGTAAACTATTTCCCATCCACCTATTTTCCACTACGTAGTACATGACTGTGATTGGCTGGAAAACCGAAACAAATTCCCCAAGAGAAAAGTGAAGCCATCATTAAAGATTCGAAAATGTGTGAGTCCAGGCTCAGTGCTGGAATGAAATCGGCATTCAGCCTCAGGGAACTCAACGTTATAGAATCTCTTCAACAAAAGGTATCTTGTAGCATTGAAATCAACTCTCTTCCGCCAACAATTTCTGCCTCGCCCCACTCAGTGTTATACCAACATCCGTTTATTTTTAGTCTGTAGGTGGTCTTTAAGGATTCCCCAAGTAAGAAGACACAAAGTCATGGTAAGTTCAGCAGTGCGTCAAGAGCACTATACACCACTAAAAAAAATTATTGTTAAATAATGAGGCTATCACGCCACCATTTTGGTTCTTTACTATCGAAACCAGATAAATTTTCGTGGACCCCCACTTACAACTCGTGGCCCCTATATTTTTTCACGCGAACGTAGGCCCCGGCGAGTCTTCCGTGGACCCCTGTGGTATACCTGGACCACTTTGGGAATCACTGATATAGACCCACGAAAATGTTTACTTATATGATCAGAACGTCGAGCTGAGTCGATTTAGTCCGTCTGTTTGTATGCAATCTAGTCTCTCAGTCATCGTTCCATCGTCTGCGGTACTCGCCGTCGCCAACGCGTAAAGG